CCCCCCCCCCCCCATCTCCCCCTCATTCCACCCCACCCTTTAACTAAAACTTGAAGGCTTCAGGTTGGGCTTCTACTGGAGAGTGAGTCTCCAGTTTTTATGTGTGATCCATTTTCCTGTCCACTTTTTATCACTTTTTTTGTATGGCAGGTTTCTGTGTCACATTTCAATGTCATTTCATTGTTTTAGACTTGAAGCTGACCATACTTCAGTTCTGTCAATGTTTAGGTGCAAGAGCTTGGCCTTATCACCTACAACTGCAGTCTCATGGCAAATGATATGAGCAAAATATTTGAGGTATACTGGGACCTAGCAAAAGACACAAAGATCCCAAATCCCTGGCCAAAAAAGTACCAAACAACCATTAATGTTGGTAAGTGCCCAGACCACTAACCTAACCCACTTTTTAACTTAGGCTCAAGGATTTGGGCAGTCCCATTGTAGTTACATTCTAATATCTGGAGATCAAAATATCCTATTGAGATATGACTGCTGATGTGATATTTGATATATTAAAGCTTGAAACCCTGCAGGGGTATGTTCCTTAGGTTTGGTGTTAGAGATTCTTAACCATTTGACCAATAAGAGTGATTAGTATCTAATTTCTCCTTCTAATATCAACCCTGAATTAAAAAATTGTGATCAAGACAATAAAAGAAAGATCACCTCAGCACCTTAGGAAATGTATAGAGAACAGTGGGGAGAATATGCATTCTGATGTTAGGGTGTTAAGGTGTATTGTTTGCAGGGTAATTGCTAGGCAGCTTCTGTACGAGAGTTGAAGTGCTGACATGGTTTGACTCTATCAGAGAGAATCCAACACTGTTCAGTTTTAATTTTTCCACACAATTTTTTCATTCTTTTTACAGATTCTCCGGCTCAAATAAAATTCAATGGTTCCAATGCAGCTTCAGTATATTTGTCTTCTTCTCCACCCAAGTTTTGTCCACCTGGTCGTACTGATGATTTGTCAGCCATAATACGAGTTATTGACAGTGCCACAAAGTTTGTTTTTGTTTCTGTGATGGATTATTTTCCAACAACTTTGTATACACGTCAAAGAACGTGAGTTCATTTTTTTTCCCTCTTAATCAACCATGTTTGTAATGTTTCACTGTACTCTAGTTCCCAGGCCTTGGTTGTTCGCGGGATGGATAACGCTATCCTTTGGATAAATCGATATCTATTGAATAGGGTAATACCTCCGGATAACAGTTATCCGCCTGATAGCGATTTATCCGTGGATAGCGTTATCATCCTTTGAACAACTTGGCGTAGGAGTTTATTTTTTAATGCGAATTAGTTCTCAAGATTTTAGAGAGCATCAATCCCGTAAAGTTCAGGGCTTATTTTTCTCATTTTGGCTGCCAAATTAGCCAAATGGTTCCTAGGGCAAGATAATAAAAACTAGGCAATTCTCGCACTAGATTGTGTACAACATAATGCGACACACTCCTGAGCTTATTCTCATATTCATATTTTACCTTCAGTTAACACATGATACCTTTAAAAATCATCAAGAGCTAACTTTTTGTGATATTGCGTTTGAAATGTGAGACGGAGTTAAGTGATCCTAAGAAGAAACGAGAGACACGGTTTCGTTCGGCGGCAGCGTAAAAATTCAAACTCCATATCCACGGTTGATAACAACTTGAGCACTGATTAAGAAAGACGGATTCACTTGAAATCGTTGACATTAAAAAAAATATATTCTTCATTAGTTATTGGCCAGTTATAGATGACGCTTTAAGACGAGCAGCATTTGATCGTAAAGTACATGTGCGACTGATGGCCAGCCTATGGAATCACACACGATCTGATATGAAAAACTACCTTCGATCCCTGGCTGCTTTGAACTATGCTAATGATGCTTATGTCCAAGTGGTAAGTGCAGTATCAGGTAATAACTGATTTTTTTCCTCGTTTCTTAAAGACATTTCTGTGGTATCTGGTTATAAATAACTCCCCTGGTACATACCTTTTACTGACCACGTTTTCTTACTCTGTACTGTGAGTTATGGACTTGATTTTTTCCACTCGCATTCATTCATGCCCAAAGCGCGAAGCGCACGGGTCACAAATCCAAGTGAGAAAAACGATGTTCTGTAACTTAAAGTGCGAACCGATAAAACAAGGTTAGTAGAATGTTCATTATGTCTCTGGGTTCGATTAGAGGAGGAAGATTTCAATTGAAAATATTTTTGAATATGGCGGCCGTACTGTGTAATGTGACCAATCAAAGCGCACGTACCGAGAGACAAAGTAAGTCTACTTACACGTTTTCTCACGTTGCTTGTTGACCAATCACAAGTTTTGGGAGAGTGCGGGGGAATAGCGGTTACATTTGCTCTGAGTCTACTGCGGTAACTACTGAAAAATAAGTTCCGCCTTTATGAGTCAAGAACTAGACAATATTTTTCTCTCTACATTTACGTCAACAGAGGCTATACTCTGTGCCACCTTACACGAAAGAGATCCCTTTCACCCGGGTGAACCACAACAAATACATGGTCACTGAGAGTGTGGCATACATCGGTACGTCCAACTGGTCAGCGGATTACTTTCTGTACACCGGTGGCATCGGTTACGTCATCAACGAAACGGGAAATAGCAGCAATGTGCGTGCGCAGCTGCAAGCTGTGTTTGAGAGGAACTGGTATTCAAATTTTACTACACCAATTTACGACAAGGATTGAATAAGCTCAAAACCCGGTTCTAATGGACAAATAGCTTTATGAGATTTACTCGTACCATACATATTTACAACATTTGTAGCCCTGCTTGATTAATTTTACTGGGGTTTTATCAACCTATAAAGGGGTAAGTTTCTAAAGAAACTGTGGTGCTGCGTCGGTGGGAGAGTATAGCAGGTAATTTAGTGTAAACAACTGGGTTGAAAACGTAAATTAGCCACCGTAAAGGGTAAAAAAGCTGACGTTTCGAGCGTTAGCCCTTCGTCAGAGCGATTGACGAAGGGCTAACGCTCGAAACGTCAGCTTTTTTACCCTTTACGGTGGCTAATTTGCGTTTTCAACCCAGTTGTTTACACTAAATTACCTTTTATCAACCTAGTTGATTATGTGAATCATACACCGTAAAGAGTTGTCTGAAGCTGTCGTTTCGAGCGTGAGCCTTTCGTCAGAGCCAAGACACATTCCTTAGACACATTCTTGTAAATGTGAGAACGAGATACACATTTTACGATTTTTTATAAATGTAGAAATAGCAAAATGTAAATCAAGGTAAAATTATCCCAAGACTCAATGAACTCTCTTTACGTCCGCGTTAGGTAAGATATTGTTTTAGTGAACGTAATTGAATTGTAATAAAGTAAAATTCTTTGTTGATTTGACATGAGAATTCTCATCAGACATAGTTTAACGATTTGATGTACACAATTCAAACCGTGGGCTCAGTTTTACAATGCAAAGGTTACGGTGACCCTCGCATCAAACATCATTACTGTGATAACCTTTATCTTATACGAAGGCAGAGGTAAACTATTACGAAGTTCAAATGTTCCATATTTTTTACCAAATAGTGACAACTAAACACCGCAGATTAATGAACTCTTCAGACACTTTCTGCTAACGAGTAAGCCGGATATCACAATCTTCCGTAATGACGCTCGCACTTGCTTGTTGCTCTGTTTTTAGCCGCCTTCGTTTCTCATTTATTAGTCACTTCTCGTAAATAACATTCGTTTACACCCCTTTTACTTTCTTTCACGTACCTCAATACAATCCTATCTACTCATTACGGCCGTTAAGATGTAAAGGCCTCTTAGTATTTTCAGATGTTCTACTGTTGATCTATAGCCTTGGTATTATTAATACCTTCCCATTTCTAGTTAAACATAGAGCATATTATTCATTACTACATCATGGGTGCATATCACAAAATGATCAAGGAGAGTAATATTGAGCAGGCAACATCTAACGGCGTCACAATCAATATTTAGCTTTAGACAAGACAATCCTCGTCGATGTGTTTATAACCAAACCCAACTTAAACGATCAAAGTACAGCAACAGAGCAACATGGCGTGCAGTAGCAGGACAAGAATGATAGCATTTGTCGTTGTGTTCATGATTGTTGGGGTATTTGGTCAGTCCCGTAAGTAAAATAACTTATTCTTATTGCTTAGAATAATGATCTAGCATTAACAGAATTAAAAAAAAACGACATTCATGCTTCAGGTAGAAGCCTATGGTACCTTGCTTCGGCGAATATTACAGGAAATTGTCTCAGTATTCATGGATTTTTTAACACTAAGATAGTCACGAGAAGAGCAATTTGTAGTCAAATCAATTCAAAAGAATTAACAAATTATTAACTGCTTACAATTGCTTGGGTGTTTTCATTCTCTTGCTATATTTTTTTAATCTGGTTTTCTTAATACTAACAATGTGAGTCACAAAAGTGTTTCTTAAAGACATTTTTTTTTTCCAAGACCAAATTTTCCCTTTAACTCACCCACAGCTGAAAAGAAGTGACATAGGGCGACTACGTTGTAAGAAATTCACAACAATTTTAAAGGTGCAAGAGGTGTTTTCATTCCTTTATTTGCCACGATATTGTGATAAACACTTATAAGACTGAGACAATTCTCGCTGTTGCTTGACATAATATCGTAAAAAACACTTCTAAACTGAAGCAGTCTTTTGACGCTCTGCACACGTGCTCAGGGCCACACCCATGACCAGTTGCTGGACCTTTAAACGAGTGCTTCTGGATTTTCGTTCCTCAGCTCTAACCAGCTAATCCAACGTAACTACAACAGAATCCGTATTCTAATATCATTATGCTATTTAGAGAAACTCTTTATCCTTTCCTTGTAGTCTCGTTACGTTAACATCAGGCGCAATACAGAATATAGTTTATTTATTCGAGCGGAAACTTTGATTTCAGAAGAAATGACAAGAGTAAATTCTGATTATCTGATCTTGCATCGAAAAGGAAAAAATGGAAGCACTTTCCCATCTTTCTTAAGAGTTATGAATTTACATATTATCATGATAATAAATATAAAAGATCATCCGCAGAAATATTGTATTCTAGATCAAAATTAATTACTTAGATTAACAACGTGAAAATTAACAATACTGGAAAAATGTTGGCGTCTATTCTGCAAATTTGCAATCATAACAAAATACAATATCACCAGATCGCGATAACGTTGAAATATTACACTGATAATGTTCAAAGTAATATAGAAAGGATGAAAACTCTAATCGTTTTAAAATTTCTGAACACTTTAAAATCAAGGATATTTTAAGAAACCGTCGTGGGTCAATACATTCAAGCTCTATTTAATCATTTTAAAATTTTCTGTATTACCCATTGCGTATTATATCGTGACTAACTTATTTATTAGATAATGTGTTGATAGTTGAACCTCTTCGTGACATGACAACATCAAGTGCCATCTATCATACTCTACAAAACTTTATCAAATATATGATCATTAGCTGCTTCTCTCTTTCAAAGTTTATTAATTTTTACCGGCATTTAATGAAGTTCCGCTCGTACCTTTTAATTACACATAATTGGAACCACCCCAATGTCGAAAGCTAAAATTTATAAAAATGAGAGCAACGCTATGCTGGAAACATTTTCGAAAGAAGTACTTCTTGCTGAGAATTGGTATCCAGCAACTGGATTCTGGTACCTCGCTAAGGAATATCTTAGGGGTACAGATAGCAAGCCGTCCGTCGTCCAAGTTTAGGGGTAAATCCAGTTCCCACCGGGCATCCAGTTTTATATCTCGCACCGTTTTGAGATAATCCGGCATGAACTGACATTTAGGGACGTACTCACAAATTACTGAGGAACGCAATAAAATAAAGAGTGGAACTGTAGGCTAAAAATCCGTTGAAAGGTTTCTTCCTCTCGAAACAAAACCGTGAGTTTCTATTTTAGGAGGAGAAATGAGATAAAATCAAACTGGATGGCGTCCCCAACGATTGCCACTTTTATTTCCAAAAGTTATGAGTCAGTGATCGCTAGAATTATCGACTGTTTCACGACATCAAAACTTCATTGTCAGATCATTTATTGAGTATTTACCCTTTCGCTCCCAAGATCTCACTCGTAATTCTTTCTACTGTCTGCCATACAATTCTTAAGATGTTAGTTCGGAGAATTTGGTATTGAATCAACTAATAATCCCCTAATTTATATCTTTCTTTATTCTCGTCACTTGTGTACTTGTTATTGTAAGGATATTGCGAGGAGAAATTCTATCTTGGTCATTCGTGGAGTGAAAGGGTTAGGGCTAGTTAAAATTTTAGGATTTTATCCAATAACACGATAACATGGCGATTTCGAACTTCTCACAGAAGGGCTGTGAACTTGTCTTTGGTCGGAAGATGACAATTAGTGAGGCTTCTTGCTGATATCATTGTTCGATCACGATACTAAAACGTCACCCTACTTGAGGCTTTAATAGATTAAAAGGCAATCAAGGCCTTTTTGGAAATTTTCTGATATAAATCTAAATTGTTTAAAGAGACTCTAATAGCACAAAAAAAAAATATGCAGATCATTTGTTCTGAAAGCCTCTAAAGAAGGTCACGATATTGATACATTGAACTTGGCCTAACGGTACTCTCATTTAAAATATAGGTTTAGATAAATCATTATTATCATTTAAAAAAAAACACTGAGCGTAGTATATGCAAGGATAAATTTGCTCGTCAGTTCTTTCTATCCGGCTTCGGTAAAGTACACATCATGCGCTTCAAGTTAGATTGTTAATGTGCAAACAACAACTGACGTCGATCTTAAGACGAATTCGTTTTTCAAAAGCAACAATGAAACAAAAACAACATAACTAATTAATAATAGAGAAAGAAATGACAGGCAATCATCCCTTCCAAGGGCCTCTCTTCGGCTGATTACCCAGATGGTGGAGTAAGCCTTACTCAATTTCAAACCAGAGGTTATAAGAAAGTGCGGTGATAGTCTTGTACTCTAAACAAGCCAAATTTAAGTAAGTTTAATTTTTTCCCCATCATTTAGCCTCAACATCAGTGGCTCCTACCTCATTAGTAGAAACTGAGTCACCATCACCATCTCCAACACAGGCCGCGATGTCACAATCTCAGTCATCCGCAGTGTCACAGGTCATCCCATCATCAGTTCCAGAGCCCGCAACACCTTCGATGTCACAACCCATGTCACCCCAAGCAGCCACATCCATAATGTCACAAGTGATGTCAGAGTCCATGGTCACATCCACTTTAGAAATTATGTCACCATCTCCGTCACAAACCCCGTCACCAACCACGTCACCAACAACATCAGTAACCACGTCACCAACAACATCAGCAACCACGTCACCAACAGCGTCACCAACCATGTCACAACCAAAAGAGCCCCCAACATCACCAACGTCAACTTCTGGAAAGCCAGGAAAAGAGGGAGGCAAAGATGAGGGGAAGGGCGTTGAGGAAATTGGTACGTATCCCGCCAGTCTTGGATACTTCGGTACTTCATGTCTCTTTGGCAAAGATAGATATTAGTTTCACCCTGATTTAGCTGGATCAATGTCAGTATCTGAGCAACTGCGCACCTACCCCTCCCCTAGCCCAACATGAACCCTCAATTGTTATCAGTTGACTGTAATTGGATTAGGGGAGGGGTAGGTACGCATTTGGGTGTGCATTTAGTTCATGTTAACAGGATTGAATATCAGTTATGATCAGTAAGGAGGAGTTGGTAATCTAAACTTCACAGTTTCAGCTCAGGGTTAGAAAATTATTTTCGTCTTCACAGATCGTAAAGTGATTGTGATTCTGCTGGCCGTAGCTATTGCCGTGGTGTTTCTGGGCATGATGTGCATAACTGTAGCTGTTTGCTGTGTACTCCGGAAGTAAGTCGTTGCGATGTTCTCAGTTATAGCAAATATGTTCTTAAACTACCAAGAAACTGGTTCAGTTCCATAGGTAGGACCTTCTGGTTTTGTTGTATTTGGGGGGATGACAAGTTGTTCCATTAGGAAGAATTTTAAGCTTTTATCGGCAAGGCTTAAGAGACGGGTAGGGGTATGGCACTCGCGTCACACACGATAGGCATCTTAGGGTGTATCAAGTTGCTTTATTATTACAAATTTTGTATGTTTTTATGAAAAGCGTTTTTTTTTTACAATTAGGGGCGGTACTTCGAAAAAGTTTCTTTCCTTGGACACAACCACTTTGCAGATTCTGAGGACTGTCAGTTTTATGCAATAAATTTGATGGCGCTTCGATTAGTTTTTCCATGAGAAAAGGGGCAAGTTCTTCTGAGATAGTTTACTTCGAAAAGTGAGGGAACATAGAATCATCCCATCATTCCAGAGGCCAAAGAATGTTCGCGATAAGACTGGACTTCTTATTCTGAATTCTCGAAAGGTGCCACTTCAGATAAAGACCTCTAGGCCCCAAGAGGATCAAGTGAAACATCTTTAAGAATCCTTTCAATTACATGACGTAACACACTTGCCCCTCTTCTTTTTACAGGATCAAATGAATCCCAGGATGTCATGGAGGAACATGCGACAAGGCTTCAACAGAGAAGGGCTGAAGTGACTGATCAATCGTTTCCTTTGTTAAATTCTTTTCTCTTCAAACTATCTTTTTACTATCGCTTTAAACGAACATTAAATGTTCCAAAGAAACAAGTCTAGCGAGCTCTGACCATGAGATCACGCATCACTTTTCGTTTTTAATCCTTTTACCACTTTGGGGAAAATGAAACCACCTGGATTGCTTGGTCCCCAGTGCCCCCGTTTTAAGGAGCACTAACGGAGAGGACAAAAATTAGTGGAGGTTTTAGTGGATGTTTACATTAAGTCAGCTCGTTGGTTGATTTATAGTCACTTACAACAGTTCAGATTTTTTTTAGTGTCTTAGATTAAGTATCTTTGAGTTCTTAAAAGTATTTCTGTTACATAGAAATTGGTAAAACAAAAGTTTTTTAAAATGATTTTATGAAGTATCTAACATAACACTGTATAGCTATAAGTTAACTTTACGTCACAAAATCATAGGATAAATAGAGTAACCGTTCCAGTTACCCCCCCTCTCATATACCTCTTTTTCTATAAAACTCCCTTCCCCCTCCCCCCTTATCACAAACTCTAAAATGTCACAATTTTTGGCCATCTGTTTGAGCAAGGTGGCTTTATAGTACAACATATAACTGCAGTCCTAAGTCTGTATTGGCTTTCTTTGTAAGTAACGTCGGTATTTCACCAATGGCACGTTGTTTCTTTGCACAATAATCATTGAATCTGGCTAACAGTTCAAAAGAATAACAACGACCCTGCGAGGGCCCTCAGTAAGTTTCACACAAGCCCCCCTCCAAAATAGAACCCTGTCTGTAAGGGTAAGGAAACTAATTGCTAAAAGCATCCAAAGGGGAAGGGGGTTGGGGGCTTACTAGGATGTGTCTTATAGTGTTATCGTTTTCAGGAACAACAGTAGCCTTTATGTGATCGTTACTGATTCAGTAAGTTGTAAATTCCGTCGACCTATTTGATTTTGATGTTAATGCTTTCAGGCTAATAATAAAAAGAACTGTGTCTCAGAATAGAGTGTCAAGCGCACAAGTGAACGAACATCAGCGAAAAATGAAAGAAAACAACGACTGAAGCACGGTAAAAAAAACTCACGATCGACGATTAATCGACAAAAACACGATCGATAACTCAACGTAGGAACGAAGAACAAACGACGGATGGCTGATTGCCCAGTAAAACGAAAATGATCGACGTCTGGGGAAAATTACACAATAATTGTTCATTGCATTGAAGGCAGCTTTACTGCGTTATTCCTGAGACCTTGGGAACATTGTAAATTTTCGAATCGCAGTGTAGTGTTATAAAATTTTATTTAAACAGGATCATGTGACCTTCAGAGAAGTTCATCTAACAACTGGGATAAAGTTTGATGGTTACCTTTGAGCATGAACTTTTAAAACTCGTCGTAACCTTACGACATTGAGATCTACACTTTGAGAAATCAGTTGTATTAGCTGAATCGTATCTACATGCACTTTTGTACATCCCACTCAGTTTTCCCCCTGAGATAGAGTAAGAGCGGACGGGGAGGGAAGGGTGGGGATGAAACACGATCAAATCCGTCTTCGATGTCAATTAGCAAGAAGTTTTAACACGATTTGTACGCCTTTGGAATCGTGTTTCTTCAGTTTTGAAACCCGAGGTTGTAGATGTGACTTGACTGTATCTGAAACTCCAGGGACGGAACTCTCAAGTAAACTGCAAGAAAAAGAATCAATGTCTAGAAACTGAATTCAAAATAGTTTTAAAGTACTAGATAATAGGGTGCAAAACTCAAGTAGCAGCCGGTTTAAAGTTGTCACGCAACACATTTCTTAGATGGATTGCGTGACAAACGACAAGCCTCACCTTGCGACCACAAAAGCCCCTCTATTCACCTTACACCAGTCGAGCAACATCCGGGGATCAGTGTTATCAAGCAGCAGTTTACTGAACAACACTTCATCTATATGGCAAGAAAGACATCATTTATTTAGATTTTGTAAAAGCAATAAATCATCTTAGGAGAAACTGTAACTTTCAAGAAAATGAAAAAGGAAAAGGATAAAACTGTGGAAAAACAGAAAAAACAGAGGGAGAAACGCAAATTGTAACACGTAGAAAACAAATAGGATGGAATGACAGATGGGTAAAGGAACATGCTAAGATCAGGGTTTTCATTAACCCTTTAACCCTCAAGACTTTATTTATTTAATGGATTCGTACAAGTACAAGTACAGGTGCATAACAGTAGGACATAAGTCCCCTACTTGGTTAATACACACACACCCAGCCCCGTAAAAAAATATCCCGGAAAGAAATATCCCGAAAAAAGATCCCTTCCCTGATCCGACTAAACTACAAGAGTGACATGCATCTAATTTCTCCTCACAATATCAACCCTGAATCAAACATTACGATCCCAAGAATACAGGAAATGACCACCAACCAAAGCAGCTCTTGATTGCCAAACAAATGCTCCTAATCAGCTCATTGGGAAATGTATACAGTATAGTGTGAAGAATATTCATACTAATGTTGGGTTAAGAATTGTAATAGCAGAAGAACAGAGTAGAGTAACAGGACAATAATCCCCACATCCGAATGAAATATAGCTAAGGCCAGTAATTGCTTAGAATTCTGCGTATTGGCGGAGTATTCTCGGTTCTCCGATTCAAATTTGACATCCTTTAAAACATGTACAAAAGAATGGCTGTGCCTTGTAAGAGAACGGACGTGTAAGAATCACGGGGTGAGTGATTGAATAAACGAAGACAGTCGTGAAAAGTCGAAAAACCTTCGGGTGCATTTGTACAGTGCGGAACTCATGTCAGGGGTACCTCTCTACCTCTCTGTACCTCTATAAGCAATGATAGTTTAGTTTCCCGAACAAGTCACAAATCACAAGTCTTTAAACACAATCGATTTATTCCCATATTTCTTATCAAACTCACGATGACAACGAATACACCTTTAAGCACAAATCTGTCAATCTCCAACACACATACCAACACTTTTACCTTTGTTTTCAGACTGTAGTCTTCCCTTGTCCTGGTTAATAAGCCTCTTCAACGCGAAATGACCAGCAGCACTCTTCACAACATGATCCTTTGCACGGAAGACAATTGCATGTCGCAAGTAAACATTGTGTTTCAAATACTGAAAGAATTCACCGGCATCCATAGAAAAGAGTGATCTCCCACAAGGAGGCATCAGAATAGATTGTGACAAACGTATAAACCAGAAAGTAAAAAAATGATTAAACTCATAGATTCTTCTTACTTCGTCTTCAGTTGAAGGATCAAGATCTCTGTTAGCTAAGTTCACAATAGCCATCATAGCACGCTCCACATCTCCTTGAAAATGAAAAAAAAAAATTAAATAATTAACATGTCATCAATTTAATTTGGAACTAAGGTAATACCAATTTGATAGTTTCTAAAATCGGACACTAGCGTCCAAAATTATGAAAAAAAAGTTTGGCTATTACACCAGAAGGGGCTAAGATTCAATGAAAATTTCATGATGAAATGGTTATTTCTCCAGTTGCAAGTAGATTGTGTTTGAGCAAAGATAGGTTTGACTAGACAGCTTGACTGGTGCAAGCCAGGAAATTATTTGGAGTCTTAGCTAACCTCTTAAAAAGAGAAAAAATTTAAATTGAAACTATCAGGAAAACCCACCAGCACATTGAAGAAGAGCAGCCAGAACAAGTTGGCAACCTCCTTTATCAAATAACAACTCTTCTGCAATTTTCTCTATCAGCTCTAACAGTGCCGGTGAAATTCCTTCCAAGAGTTCATTTTGCCTCTGATGTGAATCTTTTTTGCTGAAATAATGAAAAATAACGAAAAAAAAAAAAATGTATGAGGGAAACAAATAACTGGTCAAGGCCTGACTGATAACCTGAAAAAGTGGATAAATCTGATGAAAACATTCAAAGTTTACATATATATGCCTACAGCTGCTTGTTAACAAATAAAAAAAATATCTGGTACAAACTCTCTTCAGTACCAAACAGAAATGAATGGATTTATGTTGTGTTCAGAGGATATCAGCAAGAATAAGAAACTCTTGTTCATAACAAGTCAGAATAAGTGTGGATTTTTATAATCAAGACTTGGACTATTACTGCCAGGTCAGAAATAATCGAAGGCAAAACTTGTGGTACTACACCTGGTGGAGTTTCCATCCCCTTTCTTAAGCAACTCCACAGTGGTGGGATGGAAATGGCTGGGGCTCCGTGGACACACCAGATACATTAACACTTTCCTACCATAAGTGTCCACAGCTAACTCCTGAAGAGATGGTTGAATTTCCTGCCAAGCAAGAAAAACAAAAATATACCATTAAGTCATAATTTTCATTGTCCAGAATTGTCACATTTAGGTCATTTTAGTTGTTAGACTTCTTGTTTATATAAATTTTGTGCTCTCAAAGTCTCCAGTCCTAATTCTAACCAATGTCAATGTATTTCTTGGAAGGCTAATGCTGAGAGGTGAATGCTCAATCCAAACAATCACATCATTTCCATTCACCTATCTGTTTAGAGACAAAATATAACCTTTTTTAACACTTTTCACACACCTGAGTCACTACCTGTTTGACAAAACTGTATGCTAAACTAAAAAATCAGTCACATACATAACCTTGGAGGAAAAACTACACAGTTTAAATCTCACCGAGAACATAATCTTTTTGACAAGCACTGTGTCATCAACACAGTCAAATAATGCTAACAGTACAAGATGTCCAAATTCTTCCTGTAAATTAAACAGCAACAATCAATATTCAAGTAAGTTTACTATAAATGTGGAATTGTTCTCATGATCAACTGTTCCCACCATATGTTTAAGTCAAATATGGTGACACAACAACACTTCTCTTTGCATATGTTTATGTTTACACCTCTGAAATCCAAGAGAGACACACAATGACTGGATAGTATGTTAGATATGGGATGATTAGTAACACTGTGTTGTAATTAAATTTGAGCCATTGTGTAAGAAGTGAAATAACTTGTCAAAGATGTTAGGGAACAAAGCAAATGTAAGATATTGCTTGCTGACCAATCTTTGATGTTAGGGAACCAACTTAAGACCATAAGAGACTGACCTAAGATTTTGGCAGACTAACTCATAAGAAGTACACCATGAGGAAAATTTAAGACCTCCTGATGCATTCATTCAATTCACATCACAGCATAATACAACTCTTACTTTGCAGATCTTTACATAATAACTTTTGAAGGACTTGACAAGTACTTTACGATCCTTGAAAGAGATACAAGAACAACAAAAAAATCACCTTAAGTCTTTAAATATTGGTGAGGGTTTGTAAAATGAAATAATGTCAAAAGTAATTCTTACCAACTCACTTTATTTCAGGTCTGAAAAACTCAAGTTAAATTTACTATGTAACATGTCATACTTAGAACTCAACCTCTCAGGTTGTTATAAAGTCAAATAGCTTAATCAAATTATTTTGTTGCTGGTAAACATATGAGACATCAAAAGATATTTCAAAAATTAAAGTTACCAGATTTCAACATAAATAAACAACAGAATCTAGACTTACCTTTACAGTCCCATACCACAAACAATGCATACCAACTCTGGCTCCATCATGAGTATGAAGAATGAGAACAACAGAATCTTTGATTAGCTCTATCATTTCCTACAGAAAAGATACAACTATGTATAAGAAGTGAGGCTTCACAATGTACTGGTACAAAAAGAGGATGAAGTACGTACTGATCTTGCATTTTCATCAGCATATGTGAGGTATTCAAGAAGGACTCTGTGAATTATACTATGACCAATGACAGATCTATGGAAAAAAGTAATACAAAATAAATTAATATTATGCTGTTTATCTATATCCACAGGCAATACAAATTGTATTAAGATATCATTTTCAACTTTGACAGATAATCTTGCAGATTTTCATCCTGTGTTCAAATATATTTACATGAAAATTAAGCAAAACACCAGCTGTTACTTGATGGTACAATGCTTGACATAATCAGAGAGAAAAAAGAAATTTTGCATTAAATCCAGTCAAGTAGAAGTTGGATTTAACCTCTTTGTTTTCGTGCTGTATGTAAAAAGTTTAATACTTAATCTGGCCTGGGTGTACTAAGTCCTTAACCCTTTAACTCCTGTGAGTGATCAAGACAGAATTTCTCTTCACAATATCACCACAACATCAAGCACACAAGTGATGAGAATAAAGTAAAGTATCAACTGGGGGATTATAAGTTGACCCAATACCAAGTTCTCACAAATAATATCATAAGATTTCTAAGCCAGCAACAAGGAATCAGAATTGCTAATGAGATCTAAGTTGTCAAGGGTTCAAGGTTATTAAAGATATTTTCATCTTTAAACTTTACCTGTCTATAAGAGGCAGCAAGGCATCTTTCATGTATTTGAGGATTCCAGTTTTCCTTGCTGGATCTGATTGCAAAACTTTTTCCAAAGAATTTAGCTCTGATGACTAGAAAGGCAGATGAAAGTTGAGGCAAGCACAACTACATGATGGTAATTTACTCAAAATTAACTATAGGAATCTGGAGATAACAAAAGATCACTTGGATGGAATTTTTTTTTCATTTTTTTATTAATTTTTTTAATGCTAGATTACATGTACCTTGAAAAAAGCAAAGTCAGCTCCATAGAATTCCTGTATAAGATGGGCTTTTTGGGCAGAGTTTGCATAATCACTGTATATAGTTTCTAGAATAGATGATGCCTCCTAAAAATTGATAAAAATTGTCTAAGTTAGCCATACATAGATATAAATATTGATAAATCAAGCTTATGTCATAGAGAGCCTTATCAGTATCATCATTAAAATCATAATCTCACCTTGTGTCTGATAAGTTTGCGAACTTGCCCATAAAAGCACTTGATAATAACATCCCGCTGTTTCTTTGTTCTGATTGAAAAGACCAAAATTTCCCATTATCTTAAATAATAAATTTTTCTCTTCATTTAATTTACTTATAAAACAAGTAAGTTCTAAAGATATTGAAAATGAGATGTTACACTGATTAAAACACCCTCAACAGTTTTCTTTTATGTACTTAAATCCATTAAGTCCCAGAAGTAATTCATATGAAACTTCTTCCTATGATACAAATACATCAATCAACAAAGGGACAATGACAGTACTCAAAATTATCTACTCGAAGTTAAGTTGTCATCTAGATCTAAAATCAAATTCTCATAACTGATTTACTAGGGAATGTGTAGCAACTGAAGGGGATAATTGACCCTTTAACTCCCATGAAAGATCAAGACAGAATTTCTCCATACAATATCAATACAATATCAAACAGATAAGTGATGAGAATAAAGAAAAATATCAATTTGCAAATAATTAGTTGATCCAACACTAAATTCGCTGAGCTAAAGTTATAAGCATTGTATAGTTGACAGTAAGGAGAATTACAAATTTTATCTGGGAGTTAAAGGGTTAATAATCAGATCTTGGAAGTTAAAGAGTTAATCATATAAAAGGGTATGAATGTTGAGAGTTAATCATTTCAAGCCACAAAAACCAGAGTGTCTTTTCCAATAGAATCTATCAAAGGTAGTGTCCATGATTGTGGACCGTGGAAAACATTTGCTTATTAAAATTAGGGATTTCTCAAAATGATGGAACAGAAATCAGACAACAATACTGTTTTACTTTCAGTTTACTGTCTATATTCAGACTGAACTAAGAATATGAAAATGAAAAACCTCTGCCCAGTTAGCTAAATTACACCATTAACAAAAGTGCCAAGTTCAGTTAAAGAATGCTGATAAGGTACTTACCCATAAATTAACAATTTTTTGATGAAGAACTTGGAATATTTTGACTTGATAAGTTCTCCAAAATCACCTTGAACACAAAAATTCAGACATGACTTGAGCTGGTTATGAAATCATTTTTGATTGAAACAAATTTTTAGTTTTAATATTTTTCCAAGAAAATGAATTACCTTTAAATTGCTCAAACAACTTCTGTCTTTGCTCTACAGTACCAAACTTAACACAAGCCTGAATCACACGCCCTGTATCATGTTTGAAAATTACCTGGAATTACAGTTAAGTAGAGAGAGGGGAAAATCAATTACTAAACATATTTTGAAATGAAATTGGAAAGATGTAAATAACTTGCTTAGAATTTAATTCATCCCTAAATTCTTGTACTCACATCATGAGTATGACCAGCAATTAGACTCAGTATCTTCTCAACCAATTCTGCCTTCTCTGCCTTAGAGCACTTCTTTCTGAAAAACAGATAAAATAAAAAATATCAATCACTGTGGCATCAATTTTTCCTCCTAATAAGTATAATAGTTGAGGTGAGAAAAGACATAAAAGACATTTGGATCCACATTTTATTTTTAAAGAGTTGAATGTATACCAGGACCAGTGCACAACCCTGTTTCACTAGGAAAATTGGAATGGAAATTTTCTGGATTGTATTTGCAGCCTTACAACTTTCAAGCTACCACACCTTCTAATAGTCTCATAGAGTTTTTTAAGACCATGAACCAGATCATAGTTTTCATCTTGTTGGCGGCGAAAGTCTTTTCTTTCTTTTTTCTTCATTTGCCAGATATTGGGCTTCTCATCAGATTCTACAAGATTAAGTGGAGACACCCAAATTTACAATTTATTGAAAACATACTTTGTGAACTCAAGTACATGTAATAGACTTCCACAAGGAGCTTCCACTATTGGCAGTCAGCTCCTAAATGGAGACTGCTCCCATGGCTGGTAAATCCTGGCAACTCAGCCATAAGCCTCCACACAGGAAAGGGAAACAGACACCTGTCACACTGAATAAACAGTGGAAAGAGAGAGGAAAGGGGTGGAGAAACTGCCTGAATGATAAGCTGCGACTCCAAACAATACTGAAAGTTTGCACTCAAAGCACATGCAAGAAACTCTTAAACAAAGAGCACATGGAATTCCCTTGCATGTGCATATACAAAAACCATGGACTTCCAGAGAATGCTAAAGCTCTTTGTTGTTAACACTGTCAAAGTGCATTTCACTGTGTGAAAAAGAAGAAGACAGTACCAAAAGAGAAGAACAACTTCATGACTCTCATTTTAATATTCTCATGCTGACATTGCCTCAGAAGAGAAATCAAGCTGCACAGTCTACCTGACAGCACTACTTTATAAAGTTCAGAATACAGTTCAAAATGACTAAAATGAAACACGCATGATTCCCTGTTACTCTGAGTTTCCTGCTTATGCACTTTCATTAAATCTGTCTGATGAGTGCGTAAGAACAAAACTCAGAGTAACAGGGAATCATGCGTGTTTCATTTTAGTCACTTGAACTGTATTTCATTCTACACTCATGTGTATTGAGCACTTTTCAACAGCATTTACTACTATTTCCCACAATTAAAGTTCAGAATATATATTCTCCATACTGTTCTCTCTACACTTCCTAAGGTTTTGACATGGAGAATTCATCTTACAATCAAGAGCTACTTCAGTTGGTGATCATTTCCTTTATTCTCGTGACCTAATTGTTTGATTCAGAAGTGATATCAAAAGGAGAAATAAGATACTGATACCAGTTACTCTTAGGGAGTTCAAGGGTTAATTTACAGAATACAGAGAATCACGACACGATATACTCACCATTCTTATTTTCCCAAGAACTGGAAAAATTTTTCTTTTTCCCGAAGTCAGATCCCTTACCATCACTAAACTTTCGTTTCATGGCTTTATCACCAACAAAGTTTCCTTTCACATAACTGTTCCGTGATCCTTTGCCATTAACTGAAAAACTTTTATCATTGTTTTCATATCGTCTATATCCTTTTTTACCATCTTGACTTCCTATTTCACCCTTCCACTTCTTTCTGTAACCATCTGCATTTGTGTCGTTAGCTTTCCGTTTTTGTCCAGGAGAATTCTCTCCCCTAAAATCCTTGGAAAACTTTTTTGGCTTAAATTTCCGTTTAGCATCATCACCCTTCCCTTTGAACTTCTTCTTGAAGTTCCTTGACCTGATGAAATAAAAGTAAAGAGAGTGAGTCAATTGTAACGGCAAAAAATGTTCCCTTGTCTTTTCGCAGAGCGTTTTGCACAGCGTTCATTTGAAACAGATGAGGAAAAAAGTCCTCATTACAAAGAGTGTCCCCGTGGGTAAAACAAAAAACGACAGCCTTTTAACTCTGGTGATATTTTTTTAATCTAGAAGTATTATACAGAGAACAAAAAACAACTGTACTCCGAGTTTTTAAGGAAAAATTTTCCACACAGTACCTCTTCTGATTTTCAGCGTCCGCCATTTTAAAACACACACGTGCAAATATTAGAGCCAACTGTGACTTGGTCAGCGTAATGTTTTTGGTTCCCAGTCTACCATTTTTTTTCCTTTAGTTCCAATAATATTTCCTTGACTGATATAGATATGCGCTCTGCCCATCGCCTTCGACTACTTCGTGCAGCGCTCTCGCCTATCAATCATATTCGCCAAATACACCTGTCGAACATGTCGTCGAAGCCAGTGCGCGCCCTCATCATGGGCCCTCCAGGATCAGGTAAAGGAACTGTATCTGAACGCATTGTAAGTACTTTTAAGGTAACACATTTATCGAGTGGAGATGTGCTCCGATCCCAAATTAAAGAAGGTACAGAAGTTGGCTTGAAAGCAAAAGCGATCGTGGAAAAAGGAGGACTTGTACCTGATGAAGTCATGATAGAACTGATAATGGCCAAGATGAAGGAGTTATCTGGAGGAAGCTGGCTTTTAGATGGTAGGTACATGTCAAGGCAGTTTTCAGGATTTTACAATTTCAGGATATGTCCTTGGTGCAAACATCTCCTCAGCTGATCTGAGCAAAATTGATTCGAAATGATATACTTATAATGCAAATTGCTTACACAGTTTTAATAGAAAATTAATTTTGATTGGATGTATTTTGAGAGTCATAAGCTAATAAAAACTATACAGTATCCAAAGCTCTCTTTGATTTGTATGAAATTTGAAGTGATAAACAGATGCCAACAACAGTGAGGTTTCTTATCTGAAGCGTGGAAAAGACGTCCATTTTGTGAGGAATGCAAGGAGAGGGTCGTTTCTGTTCAGAAGAAAAACTATTTCCACACAATGCATGGATCACTTTTTCCTCAATGTGTCTTGTCATGGGAAAGGCCCTTTGATTTATTTGTTTCCTGCAACTTGACTTTCAAATTTCTTGCTTTAAATGAAAACAGTGCCTTCCAAAGATAACTAGTTTTGCCACATTGGCCTTCACTGTTGGGTAAACACTTACCTGTGTATTCTACATAATTTGTGACTTTGTTTCATTAGAAAAGGGGCTTAGAGGATCAGACTATAGCCTATAATATTTTAACAAACGGGTATAAGCAGGAATATGGGCAGAGGACAGAAAACCCAGGCATAAAGGGTGAGGTCTCTTGAGAATGATCCTGGTGTGTATTTACTACTCTTCTACCTACACCTCTATTTTTAGGTTTTCCAAGAACTGTTGTACAGGCAGAGAAGCTGGGCGAGAAACAAGAGCTTGATGTTGTTATAAACTTAGATGTTCCATTTGAAACCATAATTGATAGAATTTCAGTAAGTTTTCTTTTTCTATTTCTGAAACATCAATTTGTACCATGTTGAGTCACATTAGGTGGTCTCTCATGATCCATAACAAGAGATAATCTAATGAAAATTTCAAAAAGGTTAGAGTGATAATAGCTAGTAGTTACTCTGCAGATCAATTTAAGTAATGTGAAGTCAAATAAGTCCAAAAGAAAATAATATATAGTTAATCAAAAAAAGCAGCCTTTTGTGGCACTAAACAAGTTAGAACAGAGGTAAACCAAGTACTGTTGTGCTGGTATTTTCAGCGCTGTTGTCACTAATGTGTGAATAAAAGAAAGATAATTATGTCTTGAAATGAAATATGAAATATGTTTACTTTTCGCTTCCTAGAAACGTTGGATACATCCAGGGAGTGGGAAGACTTACAACTTAGATTTCAACCCTCCTAAAGTACCAGTACGTGAACAGTATGAAGTATTTTATGACTGCAGTTAATCTTTACAATTTGTGATGATTAGCAACTTTTATGAAGATTAACATCTGGGTGTTTAAGCATAGGAAGGGTTTTAATCATGAAATTTTTCTGTTATTGAAGACATTTGAATAACATTAAGTGACACTGTGATTTGATAACAATCCAGTTGTATTGTTCTTCTGAATATTTACAATTATGTGATTTAATTATTAAGTAATATAGGACTGTTTACCTCAGGTGCTGGTGTTTATTTTAGGAAAAGTCTTTTCAATCTCTCAGCTCTTAGTTACAACAAGGAGATAGGGTCAAAAGGAAAAGGTGACTTTGGTAGATGCAAGACAAATTGTTCAAAGTTGATCTTCACTGTATTAGCTGTAGTTATGGAGGAGGATAGTAATTGCTTAGGGTTGAAGTTCTTATAGGTTCCCTGGGGTGGTCTCTTAACAATAATATCAAGGAGACAAGAAGGTAAATGCAAGACCTGGACAGACTGTGAACTGTCTGCTTTCCAACCTTCTCAAGATGATGTCTGCAAGTAGTACTAACATTAAGACAGCAAGATTGCTTTGCTGAGAAAAAAATCAAGGCAGTGAGGTTTTTAAGTTATGTGTTGTGTTGTTTTAAAATTAGCAATTAAATTTCTCTTTAGGGAAAAGATGATGACACAGGTGAGGATCTTGTTCAAAGAGATGATGATAAGGTTTGTTATCTGGCTTACTGTGAAAGTTTTGATGTATTTTTTGAAATCAAAAGCCCTTTAATTAATCAGGAAGTGTTCTTAAAAACAACGGCATGTAAAAGAGAAAGAAAGGATTGTAAAAAAAACACTAACTGAATGAAATTATTAAAATTTGTATGATGCTGGCATTTTTCCTCTAGCCTGAGACTGTGCGACAGAGATTAAAACAGTATGAGGAAATGACAAAGCCACTTATTGATTTTTATACGTAAGTACAAACAAGTACAGTATGTTGAACCATTTTGTGTGATTTAGTCTTCACAGAAACTTCATATTTTATGATATTTCACACTTTTTAAATGCTGTTTTGTTTACAGGAAACAAGGAATACTTGAATCATTTTCTGGAACAGAAACAAATGTAATATGGCCCAAAGTCAAAGATTATCTTACTGAAAATTTCTTCAAACTATAAGAAATTGTTTGGGTGCGACAAACTTCTCAACTGTCTGCTTTATATAATTATTCACAAGTTGTTTACTAAGTATTTTCTCAGGTTCCTTGAATATTTTTACATACTCACTGATCATTTGGCAAATAATTGTCAGAAATCATGCTTTGTGTAGAAAGCTTTAAATTCTTGAAGGTTGGTGGAGATTTCCTAGTTCCATATGGATTTAAACCACAAACAGTTGTCCTGTTTCTTTTTCTGGTATTTAGTGATTTTTATAGGTTATCTAGTCATAAAAAAATTCAGATCCAAATCTTTGCAAATGAGAAATTTCAAATTTTCCAATGTCAAAAGCATGTGTCAAAAAAAGTAAAAATCAATGACTCTATCAAATTGCAAGTTTTATGCTATTATAAAAGCCAGAGGAAATAATAAAAGGGGAAAGAGTCATGTAATTCAGGCTATTATTGTGGGCTTTAGGTTTTGCTATTCATGTAATTAATAAGGATCAAAAATCCCAAATAATATGGGAAGTGAAAATAACTTGGTGGAAGTAAAAATTTTTCTTACTGATTGACATACTTTCCTTAAATTTTAGTTCTAAGAACTTATAAAAACACAAGTAAATTGTTTTTCTTAGATCTTAAATCATTTCTCTTTCGTTGGAAAATTTACTGAAGATATATCAGGGAATTATTAATTCAAGTATAGTTAGGTTGTATCAATTGTGAGGGAAATAAGTCCAAAAGAAAATAATGTGTAATTAAGGAAAACAAAAAAGCAACCTTTTGTTTTTTGTGGCACTTTATAAAGACGAGTGGTAAACCATGTGCAGTTGTGTTAGTAGTTCAGCACTGTAGTCTATCATGCGAATGGTAGATTGTCAATAAAAGAATAAAAATTGTCTCGTTGTGAGTGTATTGAAGATGATGGCATTACATGTACAGTGTGACATTGTGTAACACATTCTCCAGGGTTGCATGAGGGGTACTAGGTAGAATTCATGTGGTGATCTGTATTTGTCCAATGTAATAACGGTAACAAAATAATAATAATAATACAAATGATAATGATGATGATAAAAATGACATGTAATAATTGATAGTGTAAGGTTTCTTTTAAGATGTTTTAACATTTTAAAATACTTTTTAAATTAAAGTATTATTATAAAATAAGACTCCGTATTTAAAATTCTGAAGTCATACGAGTATTTATGCCCAAAAAGTGATCAATTGCTTTGAAATAATTTTTTTTTTCTCAAGCAAAAAGATCGCTCAAATTGCGACTGTTGCCCAAAAATGCTACTGACCCGTAAGATCATTCTCATCTTATACGCGAGATGTAGATCACATCTTGAAAGGCAATTCTCTCCGGTGGTAAACCCTTCAGCAAAAATTTACCCTGAGCCGGAAGAAACTCGAAACCCTAATAAGCGTGAAAATAAAATTTGAATATGAACGCATGCAACAAAGAACATTATATTTATTAAATTGGGCAAACGCCTTTTTTCAAATAGTAAGTTAAATAAATCAAAGTGGCGACAAATATATATAAAAACAGAGAAAGAAACTATATCTTAATTTTAACACGTTTGTCAAGTATTCAGTTGCGTTTCTCTGATCATTTTGATAAACAGCACCTATCATCCTCCATTGTAATTACAGGTCTAGTGCCCTTGGCGGAAGTGTAAACTTCTTTTCATATTATTTCAAATAATTATTGAGCGATCGCTTTTTGACGAAGGGTCTATCAGAGGATAAAATTATCATTTCTGTTATCGCTGTCTTAGCGGACTATTAAATTTCCATCTTCATCCTTACTTTGAAATTTAAGATATTTTTTTATCAGGAACTTAACAACCGTTCGTCCTTTTCGAAGCCTGAAGTCAGTCATTTAATACTTCTGCCTCTTTGGTGGCCAGTTTTCCGGACAATTTTGATACCATTCGAAAATTTTAAGTCTCTCGCTGCGTGGAGAGAAGCAGAGGACTACACTTCGAAAAAAAAGTTATCAAAATACTTGCTCCCTTTTCATAAATTATTGATTACAAGTCCAGTATGAAAGTAACATTTATCTCTTCTTTTTATATTTTACCCCAATCTTTTAAAATAACCAGTTGGCGTGACACCATTTGTAACC